ACAAGAAGTAGGCCTAAATTAATAAAGAAATTAACTGAAAAAAGTAGGCCTACTATCATGTTAGCCATACAAAATGTATCCATTGACCTCAGGGATTGCACTTATATAATACACGCAGTCACGCATAACGATGATTTAATAATACTCGTACCGGTTCGAGCTTCGAGAAAAAAATCGATCTTTATGGTATTGTTCATATGTGTTGCATTATACATTATATTCAGTATTGCTGATCCTGGCTTTTATGGACTCCACTGAAATTCAGTTTCTTCTACCTTATAAGGACTCTCAGCCTGACAGGCATCAGTGAGATCTCATTGTTCTGTCCGCTGTGCCATGTGCAATTATGTCCAGTGAACCCTTTCTCAGCGTCCCAAGTTCACCGTTCACCAGAACCTAACCCAACTTGGTTTAAAGCTGGTACATACGTGCTTTTTCAAAATTTCGATTTTCTTTTCCAAACGAAATTTGAAAGAAATTAATGTCCTGTAACTAAATAAATTTGCTTGTTTGTTTTTGCAGGCCTTTATACAGTTTTAAACAGTGGTTTTAAATAGTGCGCTCCAGTTCAGAAATTGCGCGAACTATTTAGAACGAATTATAGGAGCGTCCCGCTATTAATTCAAAAGTTGAAATGAATTATTTGATTACTTGTCATGGGCCGATTTTTTTTTCGTGCGATGTCTCATTGGAAAGCTTACAACTAATATATTGTTACTCTGTAAATTCCAAAGATTGAAATTAGGGACTAGTCGTTTTAGAGTGAAAATCACCCCTATGTTTGATTGAAATAGTCTGACGAAACTCGAGTGAAAACTGTCGATCTTTACGATTGAAGGAATTTCACTCTAAAACGTCTATTCCCTAGTTTCCGATTGTAGGAGTGAATCTTCACTCGAATGGAGTGAATTTTCACTCTTTGGAATTTAGAGAGTAGAAATTTATCAATTCAATTGAAAAAAATCTATTTTTGAAGGTACCAAACCCCCAAAGCACGTATACACCAACTTTAAGAAACTTGAAGCACTTTTTAAGAGGACCGAGGAAGGTGTTTATCAACGCACGGGCCTACCGCGCCCGCGACTAGGCCAGGGCGTCCAACACTTAAGTAGTAGCCGCGTGCACATAATTCCGGCTATGATAATTCGCGCCGATTCGGCGATGCAAAACAAGACTGCGTCTTGATCTGACCTCCAGTTTCTGGCCACTCAGCGGCCGCCTTTTATCGGGTCTTCCGTAAACCCGTTGCTGTATTACGAAAAAAAACGTGGCAGCCAAATTGACCAATCAACAGCTTAGTCCACATTTCTGATCAAAATGACCGTCATAATAAAAGTTGACTCCGATTGGCTGGCGCGATGGCTCATACATTTCCCAATTTTATTTTGAGCAGCAATTTCTCGATTTTGTTTTGAAGAGCGTAAAGAACTCTTTTAAATACGCTCAAAACCAAAAATGTTGAATATGTCAGTAAACATAATTACGGTTAATCATTATTTTTCAATTTTCAAGAAATCCTTTCTGGTTTAAAATGGAATTCCGGGATGTGTTAAAAATCGCCGCGTTAGGCAACCCTTTCCCCCGGTTTTGAGGGGATAAAGAAATACACAAAGTAAGGGGTGTTGAACAAGCGTCGAGCTACTGAACCATGACAGACTTCCATTATCACTCTACTGGGATCTCGGCGTTCCCGGCCCACCGCACTTCCTTCCCTATCCATCCATACAACCCTAGAGTCAAGCACCGGGAGGAGACGAGCCAGCACCCTATGGTGCTGGTCTCCGAGTAGCATGTATTTGCCTTGAATCTTTACAAAGATGTTTAAACCTGGACTTCGCGGACAGCCCCAGCAGCAAAACTAACCGATCAACACGCTACGTAGATACTTATGGTATTTCATAGGTCATTAATTAAAACTCTATGACTGAAAAGTCTAAACACACGTAACGGGTGTTCGAACCCAAAACACGAAGATCCGATCCCACTCAGTCATTTGGCTACCTAAAATCAATATGTGGCTCAATAGACAAAATGAAGAGTACATTTTGAGGGACGAGCCCATAGTGTTTTGTAGGATTTGTACGCCGCTCGGTCTCTATAGTTTGCCTCTGTCAGCAAGAGCCAAACATGCTTTATCACTTATCGATGGAGTGAGGATTTGACTTCCTAGGTCGTGATGTGGGCACGGGGCTACGGCTTGTCACAATGTAGGACCACAGAGTGGCATAATTATTAGAACGGCTTGCGGACCCACTTGTTTCTTTGGATGTCCGAGGGGTATGATTGTTATCGGGAAACCTGCGACCGTATTGCCGAATTAAAGGGGCCTTTTCGCCTGGAACGCGCTGTTTTGTGCTAGTGGCGCACCCAGGATTTGGCTTTGGGGCTCCCATTTTTTTCTTCAATTTGTTTAGAAGTTAATGCCAAACACTTTTGGCTGCAGAAAAAAAACCAAATTTCTGGGAGGCGGACTATTTTGACGTAGGTGGAGCCACTTACACCCCTATTATACTACTCGAAAATAGGCCACAATACCAAGGTCAAATCGTGGGACTAAAAAATAAATTACTCCCCCCCCCCCCAAAAAAAGTACGACCTCTTGGGGGAGGGGGAACCCTCAAAGCGTCCTCTTTTGCACACCTTTTAGAAAAATACATCGCAAATATCTATACATATTTAAAGAAGATAGTTAATTAGCTTTTCAATAATGACAAATCTTTTTTAATTGGGTAAACATTTATTGAGCTATGGCCAATTCAAAATAAGTGCCGATTTTCCAATCTGTCCACGGTCTCAATTGTATTTTGTTAGGAATGTAATGGATTTGGGGTGATGGTAGTTTTACTTTCGTTAATGTTTTAATCTTTCTTTGTTTATCACATTTTTTGTAACAATGGTCATTTATCCTTTTGGAACAAATGGTAGTCCTAAAAAGGACTGTTTGGTTAACTTCTTAGATGTTTACTGTGCCGCTCTGTCTCTGCCCACTACTTGTTAGCCTTTTTTCACAAATGCAAGCTTTGTTCTTCGTTCTTATTGCGGCAGTCAAAGTATTAGTCGCCGTGGACATAATGAAAAGAAAGCCCTACTTGATTTCAATTCGCCATCACTGAATAAATATTTATCCGATTGAAAAAAAAATGTTTTCGTTGTTGTAAAGCGAATGGACTATACTCTCTAAATGTGTAAGAAATTTGCGATGAAAAGTCCTAATATCTGTACTCTCCGTGTAATTGTTACACGAAATTTCAGCGTAAAGAGTATAAAGGTCCTCCAAAAAAAACAAAAAACATCGAGGGCTTCGGGTGCAAGTCACTCTGAACGTCAGTGTTGCGGGACCTCTGATGTCCTACGACCTAGGGTGACTTGCGTGATATGAGGCGCAAGTCTAGTTACCTTTGGCTCATACTAATTGGACTGTTGTAGGCCTGTGCACTGCTAAAAAATTACGCTTAACGTAAGGAAGACATGGCTGTCGCGTCACATTAACACGGCCGGTCAAAAGCAATCCAAAATCACCTCCGGGCGAAACCGGTGCACCTTTTTACGAGACTGGACAATTTGTATTGAAAGCCTGCTGCTAATAATATTGAAACTAATGCACAGACAATAATGCCGTGCCGCAGGAAACAGGCTAATGCTTAGCCAACTGTGGTAAGCAATTTCCGTGCAAGGGAAGTAACAGCTTCTGTCTAACAATCACTGGAGACAAGCAAATGAAATAAAGTTGGACCCTCTCAGAAAGGGTATGGGAATGTAGTCCGCGAAATTTGGTAATTAGTAGGAAGTGTGCAGCCTTGCTATAGCCTTTGGCCAGAATAGTGGAGATTTTGTACCGCACAAAGCTGCACTGCTTGAGCATAACCGTGGAATGGCGTCCGGGTGGGCATTTAGCCGATGTTTATTCCCGATAAGAACATGTTGCACGATGGTCAAGCAGGCTACCTTCATGTTTCGACCCGAACGCACATTTTATCGGCAATTTAAAATTTGTAATCTTTTTCTAAGGATGTTTCGTTAGTAACTTATGTAAGTAGAAATTATATTTAAAAAAACAACGAAATGAAATGAAAAAAAAACAACCACCAAATAACACACAGATGATTTCGCGAACTTCAAATTAAAGTGGCGCCTTGTCGGAAGGGGTCACGTGATTTACACGCCATTTATATTTTACAGTAGGATTATGAATAGAAATCAACTTTCCAGCCAGATAACGGAAAGGGTGTCGTGGCTTAAAAATCCCTTTGATACAAAATTGCTGTTGACGTTGTTTACTGGAAATTGTATAAGCATATTCGTGATACAATAATGGTGTACAGGTCTCTAATACGTACACTGTAATGAAAAATGACCATATTCGTCACATCATGCACGTGAATTGAACAAGTTGATGCACGTGAGGTGTCAAGGTTGGGTTAAACACATACCTGAGGTTAAGCCGACTGTCACCCCAGGTGCTTCAAGTACACCATGTGATACAAAACTGGCAATTTCTTAACACATTATTATGCACTTGAGCTTCACTTTCTTGTTGTTGCAAATATAACCTCAACTGCCTCATTTCCTGTCAAGAGCCTCAAGTGTTCATTATTTTGGGACAAAAATGTGCTAGTGCACAGGTGCAGTCACTTTTTATAGTGTAGTTTTATATGCATCCCCTTATTGTTAACTTATACAATGAAGCATGGAATTCAAATGGGTTTCTTTACTTTTTTATAACATTTTCCGTCCCTTAAGGCCTAAGCGAATCTGCATCTTGTGTGCGGGGAGGGGGTGGGGGTTGTTAAACCGTCTTTATTGATGCTTCATTCTTATCGCTCGTTTATCTTTTTACATTATTTGGTAAATAGAGTGCGGAATATAAACGTTTTGTTCCTTACAAGTTACATAATAGCGTTTTTGATATTGATGCTCTTTATTTTATACGAAAGTCGGTTGTCAGAGACTTCAAAATTTAGCGATTCGTGGGCGCTGTTTTTGATAACTGAATGAAAGTCTTATCCACGAAAGCTGAGCATTCGTCGTAGAAAAGCCGATTTCATGGGAATCTTGGAGAGATTACACAGCAAGATGCAGCGGATGACTGTTTTGAAGTCTGGGTGCCGGGCCGTGTAAATCACAGGGTTTATGCAACTGTTGGATACGAGCAGCATTGCAAGAAAGGGGACAAATTTCTGGAATCTGTCCCCGAGGAGCGGAATGACTACAACGTAGGGAGTGCAACACACCACAAAGAAGAAGACGACAAGAAACAAACTGAGTTTCACGTCACGGGTTCGACGACGCGCTGGCCTGCCCGGTGCGGGTTGTCTGCCACCAGCGACCGCTGGGGAGGGCAGCCGGCCGGTGAACAGAGCACCGTTCATCCGTCGCTGTTGCGGGTGATTTCTGGCAGGCACCTGCAACATGTTGCGTGCTGTAGTTACGTTGCAAGGCTGCTCAGTAGTATCTGGTTGTGTGGGGTTAGGAGTGTGGCGCAGCCTCATGCTCCTACTGACTACAGCTACGACCGGCTGTGGAACGGCGTTCACCTTTCTCAGATACCTATGCACGACGAATAGGACGGCTGCATAACCAAGTGAAGTGAGAAAGAACTGTACAAGGACGAAGACAGCACCTGCGATCTTCGAATAAGTACCGGGGCCATTGGATTGCAAGTTGTGGGTACATGTGCTCAGTTGTTCGCTGTATCCATAAGAGCCGAAGTCGCCCACAATGGGCAGAATTGCCAGTGCGAAGGGAATGAGCCAGCTAGCGGCGACCATAGTTGCCAGAGTGGCTCGATAACACAGCGAGACAAGACGGTTACCGTTTCGGTTTCGAGTGATGAGAGCGCGGTGGATAGCGATTGCCGAGATGTTGTCCATGCTACACCCGACACAAACGATGAGTAACACTCCTTGAAAGGAGCACAGGTGTTGCGAAACGAGAAGATTCTCTTTGCTCTCACTCAGCACGGCCAAGATCATGATGGGCAGACTCAGACAGGTTACGAGGTCAGCTACGGCCAAGTTGACGAGAAAACCGTTGATGATTTTGCGCGGTTTGCGGGAGAGAACCACGGCCAGTAAGACAGAGCTGTTACCCAGCACACCGGTGAAAAACATGAGACCGTACAAAGCTGCTAACAACTGCTTCTCAGCGTAACTGTCAAAGACAGAGACTACGGAACCATTTTGCGATGAAACGTTTGGCATCATGTTTTCTGGGTTTTTTTGTCTGTTGGTCTGCAGACGCTGATTAAGTTGTAAAAGCGCAATTCCCCTTCTGAGTAACAACAATGACACTTCTGCTTGCTGTCGACATACAATACTTCGACGGACAAAACGTTTTCGCGGCTTTTATTCTGTCACACCTCGTTATCTTATTTCCGCTACTTGTTGTTCCACTTTGAAATATGTTTATTTCATTTTTTAATGACGTTAACGGAGAGAACGTAATTAGGAGTGTCAAAAGTCAATTAAGAAGAACATCAGGTGCAACTGCTCAGAATATAATTGGGCTGATTACAAGAATGAGCAGTGATTTCCTGCGGCAAGAAACTTGAAAAGGAAGAGTTTTTACATGTCATCTGGACACAGGTGTTCACTTATTCTTTTTTGCAAACCCTGTCTTCTTTTCATGAAAGTCTAATGCGGTTAATAAAATAGTATAGCTATATCCCCAATTCACGTCACTAACAGTGATGTAGAGCAAGTCTCCTCGGGGACGTCTCTATAGTTCGAAGTACCATTGGTCCGACGTCCCATTAGTCTGCAGTCCCATTGGTCCGACGTCCCATTGGTCCGACGTCCCATTGGTCCGACGTCTCATTTGTCCGAAGTCCCATTGGTCCGATGTCCCATTGGTCCGACGTCTCATTGGTCCGACGTCCCATTTGTCCGAAGTCCCATTCATCCGAAGTCCCATTGGTCCGACGTCCCATTGGTCCGAAGTCCCATTAGGCCAAAAAAAAAGTCTCCGGTTTCTGGTATGGAGCTTGCCCCAAAAGTGGTGCGGCGACGCGGCTTTTTTTTTTACCTGGTTTTTTTAATTCAAATGTCGGCTGATGACTGCAAATGGTGCCCGACTAAACTTAGTGCAAATACATGGGAGTCCAGAGAGGCCACATAAAGCTTATTCTCGATCATAACCCCATCTAAAAACACGTTAAAATTGTGCAGCAGCAGGATTCCAGTCAAACCAGTGAGTTTGGCTGTTTTGAGACTTCATCTTGTATTGAAAAAAAACCTTTTTTATTTTGCCGACGCGCATGGCTACGGCGATGCGCGTGCATACCAGAAACCGGAGACTTTTTTTTTTGGCCTTAGTCTGCAGTCCCATTGGTCCGACGTCCAATTGGTCTGACGTCCCATTGGTCCGACGTCCAATTGGTCTGACGTCCCATTGGTCCGACGTCCCATTGGTCCGACGTCCCATTGGTCCGACGTCCCATTGGTCCGACGTATAGTCCAACGTCTCATTGGTCCAAATTTCCATTGGTCTATGTCCCATTGGTCCGACGTCCAATTGGTCCGACATCGCATTGGTCCGACGTCCCATTGGTCCGACGTCCCATTGGTCCGACCGTCCGACGTATAGTCCAACGTCTCATTGGTCCGAATTTCCATTGGTCTATGTCCCATTGGTCCGACGTCCAATTGGTCCGACGTCCCATTGGTCCGACGTCCCATTAGTCCGCCGTCCCATTGGCCCGACGTCCCATTGGTCCGACGTCCCATTGGTCCAAAGTCTCATTGGTCCGAAGTCCCATTGGTCCAACGCCCCATAGGATTAGGGTTAGGGTTGGGGTTAGGGTCAGTCAACATGAACCAGTGCAACTACACAAGTATTATGTTTCGTCGGACCAATTGGACTTCGGACCAATTGGACTTCGGACCAATGGGATGTCGGACTGATGGGACTTCGGACCAATTGGACGTCGGACCAAATGGACTTCGGACCAATGGGACTTCGGACCAATGGTACTTTGGACCAATGGTACTTCGGACTATCGAGACGTAACCAATCTCCTCAATCTCTTCTATGGACGTGTAGCATTTTCTCGCGCCTTGCATGTGCAAAAGATTTACACCACATTTTACAGAGAGTGGAATTCGCACAAGCGCAAAAACATGCCTGAGAAAATCTTGCATTGTGTTTTTTCCTCATTTAACCCACTAAAACGCGCCCTAAAATGTTGGTTGTTTAAATGCCTATCTAACCGAATAATAATGACAATAAGTATTTAGACTACAACCGCAACAAAACTTGGTAAACGTTTCATACACCCTCATCCACTCACTGACTGTATTTAACACGCATACGTAAAAACATTCAAGGGACGAAGACGCCAGACGACAAATATCAGTTTAAGTTGGTATTATATACGAGCTTTTTTGGTGTGGCACCCCGAAAAACAGAGTTTTAAATTGACTTGACAATTTTCTCGCATTACAATAGTTATGAGCTTTTTAGGGAGACAGAACACGAAAATAAAACGGCATACGACAAGTAATCAATTGATTTTAGCTTCTGAATGAAGGGCGAGACGCTCCTAACTCTTTCTGAGTCAGTAGGACCTCATGTGCGCATGCGCTTTTGTGACAGTGCACTTATGAACAATAATTTCAACAGCTGTTCAGACTAGGCCGAACTGGGTGGGTGTGCATGGGTTCGTTTATGGTGTAAATCGAGGACGCTCACGTGCAACATCATCGATGAATTGAGGACAGGAACCAAATCGAGGACGACCTCGATTAGAAAACGTGTACAAAACCAATAAGAGCTGTTGCAAAAAAAGTTGAGGTACAAACAAAGGAAAAGGAAAGAGGAACAAAAGAAAATCCTCGATTTATACCATAAACAAACGTGGGCACACACATAATGTATATACACAGTACGTAGACACAGTGTAACGACGGGTTTTCGATCCAGTGAGAGGAAAATACACGAGAGTAGCAGAGATTCTGATAGAACGTATAGGGAACGGCCTGGCTGCACGTCACGTCACCACCAGATAGACGAATACAAAACGCGTGATTCAAATATTAACGTAATGAGCTGATTCATTACAAGATAGATATAACTATTAATAGCATCTGAACCGGGGGCACCATTTAAAACTTTTTGAAACTTGAAAAAGGCCTGCAAAAACAAACAAACAAATATATTTGTTACAGGACATTATATTCCTTTAAATTTCGCTCGAAAAAGAAAATCGGAATTTCGAAAAAGCACGTATATATACACCGACTTTAATGCTAAATTTAACAAAAGTGCCCAGAAGGGACCCGTACGTTTCCCCATGCATTCTCGACCCCATATACATTTAGTGACTAAAAAAGCTTTCTACAAATCGAGAAACCGAAAAAAAAACGACTTGGTGTCGCGTTATCACGTAAGTACTTCTCGTTAACTCGGAACGTGTTTAATAGCGACCCAAATAGCGCACCGAGTTGACAAAGCACGCTTGTTAAAACGGGGCAAGTTGACTTTGAGATGCATCTATAATTTATCTACGGCGACGTGTGCGTGCTGCGTGCATGCTCCTCTTGACAAGTACGGAAGGAGCCCCCGGAGCGATCGCCAGACACGATTTACAAACACTGTCTCTGTCTTGACATACCATCTCAGTTAATGTCGGTCTTCTTTCCCTCTTTCCCCCCTAACCTATGGGGTGAATGTCAATGAGCGTGTTGTGCCAGAAAACACAATTTTGTACGTTCAAAGTGTGCTCTGCTGAAGTCAGGACACGGACCCTGAAAATTAAAGGCAGAATCGATAGGTATAGCTGTCACTTACAGTGAGGGTTTGTGAACTGTCATTCACTAGGCTGTTGCGCAGTCACGATGATTCACAACGTTCTGGGAAAGATAATACTTGTTAACACCTTTGCTTGCCGGTTGCCAGAGACGCGATTTGGCAGTGTGTATTCGAGTCCCTGCAAATCCCTGTAAGTCCATCACAAGCGTTTCAGTCTCAAGTCAAGTCACTAGCTTTGCAAATGAACTGTTGCAGAAGCATACTTGTGACAGCACTCATGAAAGAACTTGTGAAAGGACCAGCAGCGTAGCTACGCGGGGGAGGGGGGGGGCGAATTGACGTCGTTTTTACCCCAGACACCGCATACAAAAACAACGCTAATGTAACACATATGCAGGCACCAGACGATTCCTCATTTGCATATCCGTATTCAAAAATCTTGCACATGCAAATGATCGAATACCAGGGTGAGAGAGCAGGTAGTGGTGGGCGCTTACTGCTCCACAACCTGGGAACGAGGTTGCTGTCTACCTTTCAGCACGGATGAAATTTTTGGGCGACCCTCCGTTGTAACCTCAAGGCCCCCCCCCCCCACACACACACACACAAACACACACACACCCGCCCCCTAGGATGAGAATCCTGGCTACGCCGCCGAAACGGACTTGTGATGGACTCGAATACGACACTGCAATTTTGGGATGAAACGCACTAATGACTAATCTCATTTCATATTAACGAGCGACCGGGTTCGCAAAAATGAGTGAACACCTGTGTCCCAATGATTACGTCAAACAGAATCATAATTACATCGCCAAGTTTCCTGCCACGGGAAACAATCTTACCAATCCCACTCGATCGTAGTTTGTAATAGATGTTTTTTTGTTATTGTCACCCGCTAATTAGGCCCTACGTTCTCGTTGAAATCTATAAAAGAAACAATTTTGAAGAAGAAAAAGAACGAAAGGTGTAGGATGTTGAGGTTTGTCAGTAGAAAAGCCACAAAGGACCTTTGTCTAATTTCTTGATATTGATAGCGAGCAGAATTGATTGCTCTTAACTCAGACCAACAAACAAAGTAAAACGGAAAACACAATGTCAAACGTTCCATCTCTCGAAGGTGGTTCCGCAGTCTCTGTCTTCGACAGTTTCGCCGAGAAGCAGTTGTTAGCAGCTTTGTTCGGTCTCATGTTTTTCATCGGTGTGCTGGGTAACAGCTCTGTCTTGCTGGCCGTTGTTCTCTCCCGCAAACCTCGCTCAGCCACCAACGTTTTCGTGGTCAACTTGGCCGTAGCGGACCTCATCACGTGTCTGAGTTTGCCCATCATGGTTCTGGCGCTTCTGAGCGACAGCAGGGAAAAGCTTCTCGTTCCCGACAATCTATGCGCTTTGCAGGGATTTGTGCTCATCGTTTGCATCGGGTGCAGCCTGAATAACATCGCGACGATTGCCTTCTATCGCGCCTTGATCACTCGTCGGCGCCGTCCCATCTGGCTTTTCAACCGTCGCGGTCTAGCAACCATAGTCGCTACGACCTGGCTTATCCCCTTAGTAGTCGGACTCTTGCCTATTATATCTGAGTTTGGCTCGTACGAATACGATGACAAATTGTCCACTTGTTCCTACAAGGGATCCGCTACGTTTTCCAGAATCATGAGTGCCGCCTACTACCCTGTGCAATTAATTGTTACATTCACTAGCTATGCACTAGTCTTCTACACAGTTAGGCAACACGTCAGAAGAGTCAACGACGCTCCTGGGCAGCCAATAGCCCTAGTTGGTGGGGCCATGAGGCTACCTTTGCGACCATTTGCACCTATGCGTCCACACCAATTAGCGATTCAAGTTACAACCTCTAGCAGCCAGGAGCAGGTCCTTGCTACAAACCAGCTACAATCCAACCATCCGCCATCAATTGCCAGACAGCCTGCTCCAGCCAGGCGTCAGCTTCGTCGAAAGATTGACGTCAACCTTACTTTATTCCTTGTTGTCATTTTCTATATCATATGCGTCTCTCCCTTTTTAGTTTTGGTGTTGCTTCTCGAAGACAATTCACAGAAAATTGTGCCCTTTTTAGGCGCGCTTATCGTCAGCAACAGCTGCATAAACCCTGTGATTTACACGGCCCGGCACCCAGATTTCAAAGCAGTCATTCGCTGCATCTTGTTGTGCAAACTCTCAAAGATACCCATGCAATCGGCTTTTCTACGAGGGCTACTCAGCTTTCGCGGTAGATAAGATTAGATTTTATTCAGTTGAAGTAACGTTCATAATACAGGTAAAAGAGGCTAAATATTCAGACTTTGACAAGGTTTTTGGATATACCTCCGGTGTCGCTCGCATTCGTGCCCCGTGTTCAGCTGAATGTTCCGTTCATTCGGAAAGACGTTTGTTGTTATTTAAATTATCACTGTGAGTTTTGACCCTGAAACATGACGACATAGGGATTTTGCGTTTCCTGTAAAGCCTCTTGTTCATAACACATGCCGTCAACGACACCACGAAGTGGACTTGAATGCGCGCTACGCACGCGTATTTCGAAGTAACACTCATGTACACTGTGCGCTCACCTGGTACATTTTCGTTTTCACGAAGCAACACCCGTCTTTATTTCACAGTTTAAAGGCTTTTATTAATTTTTTCTCTAATCCCTCAAGAATACGGATTAATCACATTCCTGTCAAAAGTTTTAAAACGTTTTTATCCCAATTCTATTTCCGTAACATTGTTCTAACTTTCGAAAACGAAAATCGTTCGCGCTAGTGTCCGATGTACGGACACACACTTACTTCGTGAAACCAAAATGTGTCATGTAGCGGTTTTCACGAAGTAACATGTCTGTGTTGTTGTGTGTTACTTCGTGGTGTCGGTGACGATGCGTTTGTATCACGGATAACTGGTGCCTATCAATATCGTTTCGTACGTATCTGTTCTAGTGTTATTGTTTCATTTATCATGGTGTAAAAATAATGTTCAAGAGCTCTGAGCACGACTAACAATAAAGTAAAAGAACTTTGAAATATGAATCTCCAGCTCCAGAAATGCTTGATAATAAGACGTGTCATTATCTTTGTAAGCAGATATATACGTTACCTCAGTCTGGTAACACAACTCGTAGTTTACTTTAAGGTTTTTAACTTTTTTTTTTTTAAATTGATGCATTTATTTTTCTTTCAACGTTTTTGATAAATCGACCACAGAGAATTCAGGAAAGACATTTTTATTTCACTAAGTGGACTGCAAATGCTCGAGGAAAAGATTTCATAAACGTTCTAGCAAACGACTTACGATTGCGCATTGTGCTCAGTATAGTTTGCAGAAAAAAAGTTCGTCAGATAGTCCTCGTAACGGAAGTAGTGTAACGAGTGCCCAATCAAATTTCAAAATTTGCCGGGCACAAATTTTAAATCTCCACCACAAGATAATTCTCATCAATTGAGGCATGCCAGTTTGAATCCTTTGCGTTTCCAAATTGTTTCAAATTTTCGCCAAGTTCGCGGGCTTCATTTCCGTGCCTTTTCTGAGAGGGTCCACATTTATTTCATTTGCTTGTCTCCAGTGATTGTAAGCTGGAGCTGTTACGCCCCCTCCACCCCCATGGAAATTGGTAACCATAGTTGGCTAAGCATTAGCCTGTTTCTTGCGGCGCAGCATTGTTGTAAACATATGGATAATTCCGCTGTAACTTTCGTCTCATTTCTTGGCCTTTTGACACGCACAAAAAAGTCACACACATTAATGCATTGGTTCCAACAGTAAGACTTTTTTTTTATTTGAACACCGTAACATAGTCTGTTTGAAAATATGAATACAAAGTGGAAAGCTTTTTTTGGGGGGGGGGGGGAGGGGAGGGCAACAGTTTAAACTTTGGTAACTTTCGTTACATGAAAACTAGTAATCAGTAAAAAAAAAACACCTCTTTTGACATATAAATTGAACCTTTCTCTCTGACTTAAAAACAAAAACTCACAATAACACTCACGTTTCGCGTGTTAAAACAAAGTGCCAAAAAAGACTACCAAAAACACGATTTTAGCCCCAAACCCCAGGGTTTTGACCAAGAAACACGCTTAACTACATTCCATCCCACTGGCATATCACTCAAATGAAACATCTGGTTGTTCCCTTTAATTTGATATCACATTTGTTGTTGTGGTGGTTGTAGTTCTGAAGGTATACTAAATTTTATTTTTTTTCAGCCGTGTCCACTTCTGCCTGGAATTTGCCCATATCTTCCGAGCCTCGCAAAAGGTTCACATTCGCCTTGAGATCGTCTCACAATGCTTTAGATTGTTTACCATAAACCATCTCACTCGGCAGCCATTTCTTCCTTATGCGTATTTTCAGGGAGTTACGGAAGCTTTAAAGTCCATGATTTCCCAATGATGAGATAAAAAAATACCCGGAGGGACGGAAGTCCTACAATTTTTTTTTCTGAGATTTCGTGCGAAATAAGACCTCCTGCATGTTAATTCTAAAGTTTCTCGTTTCACTGATAAATCTCTTGGAAAAAAAAAAGACGGAAAGACGACTACCGAGATATGTGAAGATGATTTCATGAGAGTCGTCGAAAGCCGGAAAACAGGGCGAGTAAAAATAAAAACGAAACCAAAATGGCAGGAGCAATTTTTGAATTAGGTTTTGCCTGTATAGCACTTTCAAAACCTATAGGGTATGAAAGCCCAATCAAAGCTTTCTTTTAGTACAAGAATCATTCAAATCACTCATGTACTTTTCAAGTTACGGAATTTTGAACGCAGGCACCATTTTAACGTTTTGTCTACGGATCACAACAATTCACATAGCTACATCCCTATGAGAATTGTTTTAAATGATTCTTGTACTAAAAGAAAGCTTAATGACTGGGCTTTCACATCCTAGATTTTGAAAGTGCTTCAGGCAAAACTTCATTCCAAAATTGGTCCTGCCAATTGGGTTTCGTTTATTTTTTTACTCACTCTGTACTGAGTGGACTTCCAAGATAACATTTGAAAGGAAGACGTCTTCCCGAGGCAAAAGTTCAGAGTAAGACTTCTTTAAATAAGTCAGTATTTCCATCTTTCCGTGTTATCGCGAAAACGCGGAAGGTTTCTTACGTAAGCATAGCGCCAGCATAGCGCCATCAAATTACACTACCCTAATTTAGCTGTTATAATTAGCGCTGCATTCCACGCGTCATGAATGTAGGAAATCAAGCCCCACAAAAGCACATAGCGCTCAAAGCAGGGTTTCAAAAAAGAAATTCATGTATGTGTGACTGTATAATAGGTAGAATTTTGGGGGACCAGAATGTGTCCCCCGAAATTCCTTTGCAAAATAACACATTCTTAGGATAAAACTGTAGGCTTTTTAAATATTTCACTTTGTTAATTTCGTGGGAATCGAATGGCAGGTGAACTGAACGTTGCGTGGATGGACAGAAAGAGCCCGAAACAGCGCATTTGCAGACGACAGTGCTCCTTTAATTCTGGAAACCATACGTTCCCTGATAACAATCATACCCCGACACCCTAAAAACACAAATGGGTCCGCGAGCCGTTCTAATTATGCCACTCGATGACCCTACATGATTGTGACAAGCCGTAGCCCCATGCCCTCATCACGATCGTGGAAGTCAAATCATGAACCCATCGATGAGTGATAATGCATGGTCTTGCAAAGAGAAGATGAATTAAAGACACAACAAAGAAGTAGCCTACATAGGTTGATTGTGGCATCGTATCCATTGAACACGTTGAAAGCTGGATTTGGGAACTAAACTGTGCAGAGGTGTCAATTTCTATAATTTTCTAGTCTAAAATAAACCTTTGCGGTATTCGCATTGATTTAGGTTATTGTGCAACAGGAACCATAATCTGTAATTGTTTTCACTTTTTCACCTTTTTTAATACTAAGTTGACTCTAGTTGTTCTGAAAGTGCAAAACGTGCAAACAATTGCGCTATATTACAGAAAACGTTCATTGGTTGGGGTGATCATAACATGTAGTTTAAGCTTCTACCAACCTGTTTTTAACCTGTTTTTTAGTAGGCAAGCTTTCATCCACTCCTGTGGAATTGCGCTATACTTTATAAAAAAAAAAAAAGGCCCGCGTCAATTGGATCAAACAACCCAGGAAATTACAAGTACACGTATTGTGATAACCAACACTACACCGTATCCAGCACGATTTCACAACGAATTATACGGACTGTCAATGTACGAACACGCAACGGCCAACGGAGACGTCTTTCAGTTGTACTGATTTGGAAAACGAACTGGGTCTTTCAACTACCGAAGATCAAATTTTATGGGGACGAGACGTCAATTTGCTATTCCGACAAAATGGGAGCAAAATAATGTCAAAATGAAATATATACCTCTGTAATGACCCAAATGCAATACATTAATATTAATCACTGGTGGGAATGGGCTAACAAAATACAGAGGCGTCGCAAGAGCAAGTTGAAAGAGTCACAAGAAATTTGCCAGGATCGTATTTTTTTAATAGTACAATGTATGATACGCGTGCAGAGGGAATATTATATACCGTGTACAATATGAGACAAGGATACCCTCCCCGTGTCCCTCTCGCATAGACTGTTACCAAACACATCCTGCGACCAGCTTGCAACTTTCATCTAAGATCTCTTCAGCCAGACATCATGGCCAACTCATCATATTTTATTCGGTGTCTAAAGTGTACATTTACTGGTGTGTCATGACTGTCGCTACAGCCAAAACGTTAGTGAGCTGCTTGGTATAGGCCTACATACACACTGTATGTCAACTAAACATTGCCAAGCGTGGTTTTGTTCAATTCATGACAAACCCATTTCAATAAACAAAATTAGAGACAATATACGAACTTGGCATCAATTAATTTAAAAGAAGGGCGATATTTATTTCGAGTAGATTTTTGGTATACGGAAAAGTTTTCTTAAACCAAATGGCGCCCCTATTGTGTGTGACATATTTATAAAAAAAAAATACTAAAAGGAGACTAAATCCCTAACCCCGGCCCCCTCTGGTGTGGGTAAAATCATATTAAAATGTGTGGATTCGCGATTGTTATATGATGCTCAGCAATTCCACCACAAAGTCCAACTAATTCCAAAAATAAAAATTGGTCACAACCTATAAGTTTTTCACAAAATGACCACTTCAATAATCAAAACCACCAAATTGCAAGATCTGGATATCTTAATGCCCTTAAATTCCACAATTTCACCACAATTTTAACGGAAACACCAACATTTA